TACATCTCCATGTCTGCTGAAGTAGTTGCTGAATGCAGTTCTTAAGATACCTCTACCGTATGCAGGTCAACCATTTCCCCCCTATATTGTTCTCACTGATCAGCAGCAGTTTTCCAGTTCAAAGCACAATTCTTTTCTGTATCTGGAGGTTCTTGGATGTTTTGTGTGTGAACTATTCTCTGAAAATACTTAAGATGTACTCTTGCTAACCTCTGATAGATGTCCTATAGCAGAGGTCCCCAACCTTTTGGGCACCAGGGACCGGTTACGTGGAGAGAGAATTTTCCATGGACTGGAGGGGGTGTGGTTTTGTGTGCTGCCTGCATCCCTGTTGGTGGCATCCCACGGCCCGGTACCAGTCCATGCCCCGGGGGGTTGGGGACCCCTATTCTATAGCACGGATGGCAAACTCACCACATTGCATGGTGTGTCGCAACGTATCGCTATTTTTTTTGCATTGCCGGAGCTGAGCTGGGCACGGCCTCCATATGATGCAACCGGCCCATGGGCCGGCAGTTTGACACCCATGTATAGGATCCCTCTGGGTACGCACACTCCCTTGGCCAAATCCCTGCAGTTTTCTTGGCAAGGTTTTCAGAAGTGGTTTGCCATTGCTGCCTTCATCCTAGAGCTGAGAGACTAACTAGGCCAAGGTCACCTAGATGACTTTGTGCCTAAGGCAGGACTAGAACTCACGGTCTTCCCTTTCTAGCCTAGTGTCTCCCCTTTCTAGCCTACTGCTTTAACCACTACACAAAACTGGCTCTCGGAAAAGCTGTACTGTAGCGTAATGAGAAAAGGCAAGCTATAGATCCCTGAGATCTTTACCAATAAGAAAAGGAGAACAATGACTGAATAATCATTATTGGGAAATAGCTATCAGTTCCTACCAACCACTAACTGAATCTATTTGTATGAGAGAATTTTAATTTGTATAAGTAAAAGTCTAATACACTACAGGAGATATCATCATTACTTTTTCATTTCCAGAGAGTTATGTGTGTGGGGGTTTCTATGTTTCTAACAAGGGTAAAATGGCAGAAGTTCCACAGGTATAGTTTTTCCTGCCAAAGAGATGCAGTGATAGGAATAGCTTCTCCTGCCATCAGACAATTCTAATTGCTAAATGACATCTCTTATGGGTATGCCATTCAGGTATTTAAAAGCTAAATCCTGGTTGCCTGGTATGCCATCTTTTAAAGTGTACTTTCCCCATGTATTTTCAACAGGAAGGAAATAGATAGCAAAACAATGCCTGTTGAATTTCTGTTTAGGCGATTAGAGCACCAAGACATTATTTATTATTATTTTATTTTTATTTTATTTTACAAAATTTATATGCCGCCCTTCTCCCCATGGGACTCAGGGCGGCTCACAGCATGTTAAAACAATATACAGAATTACCCCTTCTAAAAACCAATTAAAACCCAAATATTAGTGGCTGTGACTATTTAAAATCATTAAAAATTATCCCTATTTAAAATTCACCCTAGGTCAG